ATGTCCTTATACCGATGATAAAATTTAGTAAATGTTTTGACTAGTTTATGATATCGAAAACCCTGGTGTAATAATTTTTCAGTAATATATAAATTTCTCTAAAATCTAATACGTTGTTACATACACGAGCGAATCGTACAAGTTGAGATATATAAACACCATAAGAAGGTGACAAGGGAACGTCACCATCTAAAAATGGATAATTAACGATAGGAAATGAAAAATCATCTCTTTTATCATAAATTTTTGTATTAAGCTTCCCGTTAATGATATAGATATCAAGATCGAGGAAAGGACAGTGGTCATTGTTAGTATTAGCTTTATTTAAGGTAAGTTCAACAGGATAAATTTCTTTAGTATACATACTGAAGTTGTCATTATTGAGAGCCAATATATCATCCAAATATCTAAAAGTATTGTTAAATTTTTGTATCAGATGTTGTTTCGATGGGTCTTTGCTGATTTTAGTCATAAATTGTAATTCATAACAATACAAAAACAGGTCCGCAATAAGTGGTGCACAGTTAGTCCCCATTGGAATTCCGATTGTCGATTTCGATCGTTCTTCCTCATAACTCTGTATTAGAAGAAAAGTAACTCTGAATTCAAAACAATTGCACTTCGATAATAAGGGATTATAAATTTGTCTTGTAGGTAGAGATAACATCTTATTGAATTAAACTACTTGTCTACGGTCGTTCTTTCATTTGATCAATCCTGACACCCCTCGGTGTGTTATACGACAAGAAATACCTTACAATGTGCATTATCTATAACACATATTCAACATTTAAAGTACTTTGGACGAGGCAGTAATCAAAAGACGGAATGCATAATCAATATACCTTTGGACGCAGGGTACACTAGTACAAAAAGGTATAAAATAAAATAAATTTTCTGAAGAGTACCAAATGTCTAATTAGTACATTATGATAAATCAAGTCCCAAGTTATTATTTCTTGACGTGATAAAACCGGCCATATTATTTAATAATAGATACATTAACAGTTTTGAATAAGTTGCTGTTTCACTTTGCTGTTATTGTGAACGAGGAAACAGTACACTCTAAAAGATATGCTTACACACAAATAGTAATCTAGGCATTGTTTACAGCATTGTATCTTTTTCAACAATAGAATTAGTTTCTATCTAACATGATGGATTGGTGAACTTCCCATGGCAACGATTGTATGCCTATCTGAACATTGATTTTCTGCTTTGTATAGATCTGATGAGTTAAGCCCTTTCCGACTGATTTTTATAGTGGAGTATTTGTCTCATTGGCAATTATACCATATCTTCCTATTTTTAAACGATTTTAATAAAAATGAACCCTGCTTTGTAAAAAACCAACACACTGAGCCGGATTTTTTAACTTGCAAGTATGCAATATCCAGACACATTAATATGTATTGTAAATGTAATTGGAAAACTGATTTAAGTTTTTTTTAATTTTAATTACTTAAGTTACTATCTCTGAATATTATTCCTATAACTTTAGTTCATATTTATACTTATAAATTCTCAGGAATCCTCCATATGTTATGGACCCATCTAATCCATATCATGACGTTGCATCTGATCCGAATATGTCTACAGATTGTTCCCGCATAGAATCTAAAGGTAAACAACTGCAGCGAAAACTCGAAGGATTGCCAGAATTTTCAGAAGAAAGTGGTTGTGTGGTATCCTGAGAATACTTTTGGAACTATTCATTACCTAATGATGAGCATGCCTGTTACATTTTATTTTTTAAATTGTTGATCATAATTTTGTTATGTTATTTTTCTAAATATAATTGTATGTGCAATTCATGATCACTTATTATGAAATAAGGAGATCAATTGGTGTTTAACGCCACTTTCTTTCAGTGCTGTTGGCTATTTTGTGGTTGTCAGTTTTTATTGCTGGTGGTAACTGGAGTGCACGGAGAGAACCACCGACCTTCGGTAGGAAAACTAACAATCCTAGTCAATTAAGATTGGAGTCGAACGCACCTACCATGTGTTGGACTAGAACTCACAATCTCAGTGTTGACAGGCTAGTGGTGATACAGTAGTTGAACTACTTAGACCACTCTGCTACAGAGGCCTTTTAAAATAAGGAGATGTGGTATGATTGCAAATGAGAAATCAATCCACCAGAAACCAATTGGTGTAGATGTTAGCAACTATAGGTCGCCGTACGGCCTTCAACATTGAGAAAAACAGCAACCACATAGCAAGCTATAAAGGCCCCAATATCACAAAATGTAAAACAGATTTGATATACAGAATTTTAGGCTCCTGACTTTGGATAATAATATACAAAATCACGGCGGCAGGATTAAACATGTTAGCGGGCGCCTCTCCTTAGTACTTGGTGAATGATAATCTAGGTAACTTACAAACTATTCGATTTCATCTAGTATATGCATCAAGATGGTATTTCTACTCTATTAGATATATACTCTGTCCATTGGATTAAAGGAAAACTAACTCAATTTCAAGTTGCCAGCTCCTTGTATTGAATTTAAAGTAACATAGTATAATGATAATGCGGTGCAATGAGCCTCATTTTATACTAGAAATATCGATTTTTATCTGCAATCAGGTAGACTAAGTCTGTACCTAACGAACTCCTTCTCGTTGATATTGACCCCTCTATTTTCAATCGCAAATATCGAGTCTAACAATTTGACATTGTTATGCGTTTACGATATGAGGGACGGCGTATACAGGCACATCCTGCAGATATTGGCTCTAAAATAGATCTATTTTGATACGCGCCATCATTTCTTATGACAGTTCGTAAACTATAGGTGTAAAATTTGATTTCTTTACATTGACATGTCTTTCCACGAACTGTTACTGATTCTTTTAAACATTTTGCTTCAGTTATTTCTCTGGGCATTCTGTTTTCGTCTATATTCCGTACAAAAGTCCACGGACATAACGCCCTCTGTGAATATCCCTGATAATTTAATGGCACTCCACATGTAGTTGGATAAGGTCTGCGTATAATATTGACAAATGATTGGTTAACTGATTTCAATTCGCCGTGTGTATAACTCATTACAGCACCTAGAAGCATATAACGTGTTTCGTGTGTCAGAGACCGGAAAGATCTGGTTTCATTACAGTTTCCTCTAATAGTACTGTATACACCGTATACATAAGAAGTAAAACAAATACACCAATAACAAAGCTGTAAATACATATATATATATAGATAGATAGATAGATCATCAATTGATTAAATATTAAATCATTTTTTCTCACAATTTACATATAATATTAATAATCAAATATGTCAGACAAAACAAAAGTCTACTTAGTACTATTATAACTAGCATTTTTATTTATCGTATTGAAATCGTTTTTTCTATACAACAAATAAGATAAGAATTCAAAATTAATAAAGGGCGATGAGGAGGGGTTGATAAGAAATACTTATTATATATAACTAAATCGAATAGAGAATGGAAACGGAGAATGTGTCAAAGAGACAACAACCCGACCAAAGAGCAGAAAACAGTCCAAGGCCACCAGTGGGTCTTCAACACAGCGAGAAAATCCAGGACCAGGCGGCGGGTTTAGGCCGGCCCCCAAATATGTCTTTGCTTGTCTATAATTGTGTTGTGTTAGGAATTGCTGTTTCAACAATACTGTATTCATCATAACTTATTTGATGTCTATAAAAAATCTCGAAGATTGACATTCATCTACATAATTATTTAACTTTCCTTCGAAACTCTTCTATTCGATATCAAAATTTTGTTTATTTTTTTCTGTTTATCGAAAAAGGTTTATGCAAACGATCTTACTTATTTCTTAAGCGATTTGAAATACCAATGCACACATTTTTTCAAGTATTTTAAGAACAATATGACCACCTCACTTTTAAGTATAACATCGCATGTAGAATTTCATTAAGATCCCCAAGATTGCCTTTTCTACATTCTTACCTTAAAATTAGGTGTTTTTAGTTATCGGATAACCTTAAGTTTTGTTACATTTTTTTTTAAATTGCGAGAGCATAAAACCTTGTTTGAAAAAGTTAACTGTATTTTATTGTCTACAGTATATAATGTTTGTGACACGGTAGCTTTCTTTTTAAATTAGGGAAGTATTATAATAGCGATAATTAGCACTTCCGTATATATATTTCACATACAAATAGAACATTGTTTCAACTTGGCAAGTTGTCGCATAATCTAGGGTACAACGTGAGAAATTTGCATGAGAATGGTTCATCAAAAAGAATATAGCACTTTGTAGAACAAAGTACACTGTTCCTGCTATATAATATAGAATTAAAAAAAAAAGTGGAATTTTTATATCTAAGGTACACATTTTTAGATGTAAGGTATACATTTTTAGGTACTTTTGGTCATATAGCTCGGTAGTTAAGAAATACATCCATTGCTTTTGAATATTTGACTTTGAGCGTTCCTGATGAAGCTAAATACCGAAAAGAGCTCTTGATGCATACAATCTATAAAGTGTTATTTTCATTAATTTTTCCACCAACTTTGCATATGTATCTTGGATGTTATAATTGGTAATTATGGATTAACAAGTCAATCTAGAAAATACACGAATGTGGTTTTTTCGGTAAGTGACAGGGTGGTTGTTAAGTTTCTATCTAACATGATGGATTGGTGAACTCCCATGGCAACTATTATATGCCTATCTGGACATTGTTTTTCTGATTTGTATCGATCTGATGAGTTAAGCCCTTTTCGACTGATTTTTATAGTGGAGTGTTGTCTCATTGGTCACATCTTCCTATTTTTATACGATGTTAATGAATATGAACCCTGCTTTGTAAGAGACCAACACACTGAACCGGATTTTCTAACTTGCAAGTATGCAATATACAGACACAGTAATATGTATTGTAAATGTAATTGGAAAACTGTTTAAGGTTTTTGTTTTAATTTTTATTGCTTTTAAAGTTACTGTCTCTGAATATTATTCTTATATCTTCCGTTCATATTTATACTTATAAATTCCCAGGAATCGTCCATATGTTTTGGACCCATCTAATCCATATCATGACGTTGCATCTGATCCGCATATGTCTACAGATTGTTCCTGCATAGAATCCAAAGGTAAACTACTTGAGCGAAAACTCGATGGATTGCCAGAACTTTCAGAAGAAAGTGGTTGTGTGGTATCCTGAGAAACTTTCGGAACTATTCATTACCTAATGATGAGCATGCCTGTTACATTTTATTTTTTAAATTGCTGATCATAATTCTGTGATGTTTAATATTTTTCCAAATATAATAATATGTGCAATTCATGATCACTTATTATGAAATAAGGAGACCGATTGGTGTTTAACGCCACTTTCAGCGCTATTGGCTATTTTGTGGCTGTCAGTTTTAATTGCTGGTGTAAACCGGAGTGCACGGAGAGAACCACCGACCTTCGGTAGGAAAAATAACAATCCTAGTCAATTAAGATTGGAGTCGAACGCACCTGCCACGTGATGGACTAGAACTCACAACCTCAGTGTTGACAGGCTAGTGTTGATATAGTAGTTGAACTACTTAGACCACTCTGCCACCGAGGCCTTTTAAAATAAGGAGATGTGGTATGATTTCAAATGATACAACAATCCACCAGAAACCAATTGGTGTAGATGTTAGCAACTATAGGTCGCCGTACGGCCTTCAACATCGAGAAACAAGAACCACATAGCATAGCAAGCTATAAAGGCCCCTATATCACAAAATGTAAAACAATTCAAATGAGAAAACCAACGGCCTGATTTATGTACAAAACAACAAGCGAAAAACAAATTTGATAATATCATACAAAATTTCAATTTCAAGTTGCCAGCTCCTTGTATTGAATTTTAATGTAACATAATATGATGATCGATGATGCGATGCAATGAGTCACATTTGAAACTAGAAATATCGATTTTTATTTACAATCATTATAGTCGTCTCAGAAGACCCATTCTGTCCTTCCCATTAATATTGACCTCTCTATTTTTAATCGCAAATATCGATTCTAACAATTTGACATTGTTATACGTGTACGATATGAGGGACGGCGTATACAGGCACATCCTGCAGATATTGGCTCTAAAATAGATCTATTTTGATACGCGCCATCATTTCTTATGACAGTTCGTAAAACATAGGTGTAAAATTTAATTTCTTTACATTGACATGGCTTTCCGTGTCGAACCGTTACTGATTCTTCTGAACATTTTGCTTCAGTTATTTCTCTAGGAATTCTGTTTTCGTCTATATTCCGTACAAAAGTCCACGGACATAACGCCCTCTGTGAATATCCCTGATAGTTGAATGGCACTCCACATTTAGTTGAATAAGGTCTGCGTATAATATTGACAAATGATTGGTTAACTGATTTTAATTCGCCGTGTGTATAACTCATTACAGCACCTGGAAGCATATAACGTGTTTCGTGTGTCAGAGATCGGAACGATCTGGTTTCATTACAGTTTCCTCCAATAGTACTGTATACTCCGTATACATAAGAAGTAAAACAAATACACCAATAACAAAGCTGTAAATACATAAATGCATAGATTATCAATTGATTAAATATTAAATAAATCTACATAAAGTAATAATCAGACAAAACAAAAGACTAATCAGTACTATTAAAACTAGCATTTTCATTTATCGTATTGACATATCGTTTTTTCTATCCAACAAATATGATAAGAATTCAAAATTAATAAAGGGCGATGAGGAGGGGTTGATAAGAAATGTCTTAATATATATAACTAAATCGAATAGAGAATGGGAACGAAGAATGTGTCAAACTGAAAGAGACAACAACCCGACCAAGAGCAGAAAACAGCACAAGGCCACCAATGGGTCTTCAACGCAGCGAGAAAAATCTCGAACCTGGAGGCGTGCTTCAGCTGGCCTCCAAAGTGTCTTTTCTTGACTATAATTGTGTTGTGCCAGGAATTGCTGTCTCAACAATAGAATATTTATCATAACTTATTTAATAACTTTTAACATTCTCGAAGATTGACATTCATTTACATAATTATTTAACAACTTTCCTTCGAAACAAACTCTACTATTCGATATTAAAAGGGTTTTTTTCTGTTTATCGAAAAGGTTTTGGCAATTAAACAATTACTTAAGCGATTTGAAATACCAATGCACACATTTAAACAAGTATTTTAAGTATTGAACAATATGACCGACCTCACTTATAAATATAATATGTAATAACAATAAATTGACATAAAAATGTTAATTAAACATCCTTTTTGTTAGTCCAGCTGGATTTTTTGAAATAACAAATTAAAGTGGAAATATTGAACTATCGTGTATATCATTTTTCGATTCCACATACTCTAGTCGCATGTAGAATTTAATTAGAATCCGCCAATATTGCATTTTCTACATTCTTACCTTAAAATTAGGTGTTTTTAGTATCGGGTAACCTTAAGTTTTGTTACATACTTTTTTTAAAATGCGTGAATATAAAACCTTGTTTTAAAAAGTTAACTTTGTTGTATTGTCTACAGTATATAATGTTCGTAACACGGTAGCTTTCTTTTTAAATTAGGGAAGTATAATAATAGCGATAATTAGCACTTCCGTGTATATATTTCACATACAAATAGAACATTGTTTTAACTTTGTCAGTTGTCGCATAATCTAGGGTACAAATTTATTTTTAAATGTGAGAAATTTGCATTACAATGGTTCATCAAAAAGAATATAGCACTTTGTAGAACAAACTACACTGTTCCTGCTTTATAATATAGAATTTGAAAAACTGGCATTTTTAGGTCTAAGGTATAAATTTATAGGTACTTTTGGTCATATAGCTCTTTGAGTCTTTCGGTAGTTAATAAATACATCCTTTGCTTTTGAATATTTGACTTTGAGCGTTCCTGATGATGGTATATACTAGGGATGTCAACGAGTACTCGAGTATTCGAGTATCGCTCGGTAGTACCGAGTATCGAATACCAAAACGATACTCGACTAATCGGTTTTCTGTTAGAATATTGCTGTCTTCTTTGTATAAAATTGATCTTCTTGAGAACCTCTTTCGGAAAATTAAATAGGCATCACTGATTAATCATACTTGTAAATAAAATATATTTTGTTTCGAATGCTTGTGTTAAATTGTCATTTAAAATGCCTCCGAAAATATGTGGGCTATACCTAGGCTCACACTTTAAACTAAACATGTCTTATCCATTTTGATCACATCGGTACCATCAAAGTGAATATTTTCGTCTGCAAGACTGTAATTTCCAAAGTTGCAAAACCGACTGTCCCCAATAATAGTTGACAAGAAAATCTGTCCAAATAAAATAGATTCGTTGCATCCTCTGGTGACCCTCAGCGAATAGTTAAACTTCTAATCCTTACGCCCTTGTAAACATTAAATGTGTTTTCTTAACGATTACCAAATACTATTGTTTGATATGGATTTTCCTTGTTATAATTTTTAAATAGGTGTTCATTAAATTATATTGACTAGATGATTGTTTTTTTACTTAATTAGTACTTGTAGGTAATGAGCTGTTAATTATGGTGTGTAATTCCTTGTCCGAGATACTTATGTAGATGGTTTTTCGTCCGCTGAACAACAAACCACAGAATGTAAAATACGTATTTTTGTGTTTCCGTGTTGTAGATATATTTCCGAGCGAGTACACGAGTATCGCTCGATGAAACCAACGAGTACTCGATAAGTAATTGTTCACCGAGTTGACATCCCTAGTATATACCGAAAAGCACCCCGGATCGGCGCGTTACGTTTGCAGGGAAAAAAATCCACTTTTGCGCGAAAAAACGCATTACGTTTGCGCGAAATTTACCTGTTGAAAAGTCACTACGTTTGCTCGAATTTGAATATTTGCATACAATTTATAAAGTGTTATTTTCATTAATTGTTCAATCAACTTTGCATATGTATCTGGGATTTTATAACCAGTAATTACGGATTACCAAGTCAATCTAGAAAATACACGAATATGGTTTCTTCGGTAAGTGACAGGGTGGTTGTTAAGTTAAGTCTTTGGTTTTCTGCTTGGTAAATTTTGTGTTTTGAAACCAAATTCCTGTTCAAACGATACTTGATACACGCTAATCTCGATTTCTCTGTTATACGCAGTTGGTTTGAAATTGTTATCTGTGATCTTGAATAGTTAATTAATTTGTATGAATTACTTCATTATCATTATTATAATGTTATTGTATTACATTTACACAAACAAATACTAAGTCGGATCCGTTGAAATTCGTCCCGTATCTCAAACTATAAAGCATATTAGATAATCGTTGCATGGTGATATTCAGCATCAAGTTTATAAATAAATCAAATGGTACGTGTATATTCTGAAGATGGTTGTCATGGAAAATGTTAAGCTTCATACAGATTTTCATTGTTTACATGTGGCATTTCAGATCTTGATAGAAATATATCTTATGTGACACAAAAGTTATAAAAAAATCACAAAGTCGTATTCAACTGTAACAAACCTTGTAAGTATCCATGATTAAAATTGTAGGTCAACACTTCTAGATTGTGCTTGCGATTCCGTCAGTACGGTTTATATAGCACATTATCACCAAACAAATTCGCCAGTAAAAATTATTTATAAAGTGAAATGAATGGGTCAGATGAATATCGCGCCGTCGGAAAAAAAGACAAAAAGAGAACAATTAAAAGAATGAACATCCTCATTGCTGATATTTATAGAAACAATGATCATTCACTCAACAATAACATGTATTTTCCTTCAGCTTTGACCACTAAAATTGCACACTATTGTTAATTTGAAAATGTTGGGCATCCGGGAATGTTTCACATACCTTGGGACAAATGAAATTGCATGGTGGAAAATACACAAAATAAATTTTGCAAAAAGGAAAATGCTGTTCGAGACATACGATAGGCACGTCTTAGAGCATGCGTGGTAAAAAAAAAATCAGTTAACTAACCATAGTTAAACCTCAAAACTTTCTCTCAACAATTGTACAATAAATTAAATATTGTTTTGAAATATTAATAAAAAGGAAGCGTTTTAAAATGTACTACAACGAAATGGTCTATTACTAATTCTAGACATTGCTTGAACGTCTTATAATGATAATACAAGAATTTGTGTTAGTTGGTTTACAAATACCATCATATTATGATATAGAACATGTTTAGTCTAGTAAGTACTAGTATTTGGTAAACATGGTATAAGAACGATCAGCGTTCGGCGTACTTCAATTTGCCTGTGGCTACAGTATGTTTGGTGACCTCAAGGATTATCCCATTATAACAAAACTGTATCTTTCGAAGGATGTAGGTAAATAGGTTGCGTTACGTGTAGATCTATCATTTTTACTACATAGATTGAAATGTTAAATATCATATCAAAAGAAACTTATAGTTTAATCCTGCCAGGTGGTATCAGTCAGGATTCTACTTCGTCAAAATTACCTCCCCAGTTCCGCCACTAATTTACTTGTATCGTGAAAATGGAAGCCATTGTATAGGAACGACGCGCTGTCAATTTAGCTCTTGAAAACCGATGAATTTATCCTAAAGCATCATTACGATCCTTAAAAAAGTTATATGACAGTTAGTTTTTTTTTTATCTACTAGAGCTATTAATAATTAGCATCATGTAATCTACTTTTAGGCCTTATGGTAAAGATAATTGTCACAAATATTTCAAATAATAACTTTATTTTGAATGTTTATGCATGCCATAGGTGTTTTTTAATGTTTTTGTGTGACTTTGGTAACTTTAGTTAAATCTATGGACCCATATCTCTACGCTCACGGCTCAGTCTTTACACGGAGTATGAGTTATACGACTATCTAGATTTTGCTGCGTATAGGTGGAACAGTTAAAATGTTCCTAAGGGAGACGATTTTTTTTTCAAATGCAACGTACTAACAGATCTAGCGGATCTTCGGAATTTTTTAGTATCCTCATATCTGATTCACATGGCCCTTAAAGTAGGCTCTCTCACAATAATTCTGAAGTTGGAACAGTAGTATTTCTAAGGCCATGAATATAATGATAGCCTTTTAAGAATCTTCACCTCTTTCTAATACTGACTCACTCAGAACCTGCATACACAGTTAAATATGGTTAAGATCAGTTAACTGAAGTACATTAAAATAAATGTAAATAAGTTTTATGTATGATGACCGTTTATTTTTTCTGCTTACAATCTTTATAAATCTGTTAATGTCACTAGTGCTTTGTGGCCTTTCACAATGCAATGAATACTTTGTTTTTAAACAACTCTAAAAAAAATTCTATCGTATCAGAAGAGGAGCCCCCTTCTCAAAAGCTACTTTCTTTCTACAGGTATGAATCACCGTTCTATATCGGCGCACTTCTACATAATAAAATGGCTAATGCGCTATATACAAATATACACCCGCACCCACTAAAAACTCATATCAACACACAAAAGAACGTGCCACTAATATTCACCAATTCATGCATATTATCATGAATGGTAACGACACAAGCGTGCTGTACGAAATACTGTGTTGTCATTTACTGGCATGTTTATACATCATGCATTACAGTGCAATCGGCTAAGAAGGATGAAAATGTATGCGCTTAATGAACATCATTGCTCCATGCCTAAAATACTAGTTGCTATCATATGCTAGGTAAGCGGATATATACATTAGCTTTATACATTTGTAGCAGTCTATACTGAGGTTAGCACTAAAGGTTAATGTCTTCTACTCTAAATATACTGTTAATCATTGGATATATGCATTCAACTGCAGTGTATGTAGAGTATGTTCAACATTTAGGACACATTAAAGCACGATGCGACAAATACGCAGTAAAATGTAATGCTACAGAAAAAGTAGATGACGTTTCCGAAATAAATCGTATCATATCCGATACAAACCTATATTTAGACTTCCAATGCAAACTTCCGGATTTGGACCCACAGAAGAAACTGGAAATCCTCTTGTATTTAACGCTTCGCTATGAACAAATAAACTAACCATACACCAGGATTGAAATTTTGTACGCCAGGCGCGCGTTTTGTCTACAAAAGACATATCAATGACGCTCGAATACAAAAAATAGGCCAAATAAGGTACGAAGTTGAAGAGCATTGAGCTGTTGAGGACCCAAAATTCCGATAGGTTTTGCCAAATAAAACTTAAGTGTAGTAGTCAGCCGATAACCAGCTTACCACAGAAGCTATCGTTGTTTTTGGTATATATGTGTAGGTACAGATGAAAAACATGTTATTTTTTGAAAGAAATTTAATAGTTCCATCGTGAACAGGTTTGAATCAGACTTTTTTTGGTGGGCTACATGAAGGTTTTTGGTCGACAGCTCTACTGCACCAGATTAGATGGGCTGAAAAATCCATATAAGTGTTTGGACCATAAGGGTATGGTCATGACCATATGCATATACTCATATGGTGCGACCATAAGTGTAGAGTTGAACCATATGAGTATATACATATACTTGTTGGCACTGGCTACGGTTACATGGAAATGTAACAATAATAATAAAATTATTGTTACATTGGAGACTAATTGCCGGAATACAAGGTTGGGTAAGGATCCGATTAATTATGTAACAATAATATATGAGTCTACGGTTACATTGCGTTATCGTTACATATTAATTATGCACTTCAATGTAAGCTAGATTTATTAAACTTAAACCTTATAGTTTTGATGCTGAATTGTTTTCGCCAATAAGAACGAAGTTACGATCACGTAATATCTGGATTTAGAAAATGAAAGCACTGATTCCACTAGTTTCAACATGTCGGCAAAGGTTAACATTACTGAATTGCCTTCACAATATAACATAAACATCGAAAGATTAAACAAATAATTTTTCGTATGAATCATGACAGACATTGAAAGTTTCTTTAAACTTCAAAAAGGGATAGTGCAAAATGTAATTGTACAGTATGCAATACAGACGTGGACATTGCTGCATCACTTGTTTGTGATGGCTGCTTAGTGGTTTCACTAAAATGCGTGGGACTAAATCATGCTTCCATATACAACATACAGGATTTGTAGAATTGACATTGTAAATAAAAAAATTAAAAATTGTATGCAATATTGCAAAATTCAAATAAAAGTTTTCAAGTTTTATTTTGCATTAATGTAACAATAACGCAATGTAACTGTAGACTCAATTATTATTGTTAAACTCTTAATTAATCGGTTCCTTACCCAACACTGCATTCCGGCTATTAGTCTCCAATGTAACAATAATTATTCTATTACTGTTACATTTCCATGTAACCGTAGCCAGTGCCATACTTGTTTGGTTATTAATGGGCCAGACCATACAAGTATTAAGACCATATAGATATTTTTAAAAAAATTCACAGGAACACACAGCCCATTCTTCCTATCTAATGATTTGTATTCGGAATCCTTTATCTTTGACATATTATCTGAATCTATTCAATCTAAGTGTACAAATGTATCTGTTATCTTGACTTAGCTGAGTCAGTTTAAAAGGCCTTGATAATGTCCATATTTTTGTTACGAAGTGAAACCACAGGCATTTCATCTTTTTTCGTTTTTCCCCAGTGTTTTTATGAGTTTTTTCATAAAAAATTTGTTTAATTTACTTATTTCCATGTTTTCACTTGATTGATGTGTTCTTGTTTTTATTTATCATGTTTACATGTATACGATCTTACAATAATCATGATAATAGTAGTTTACATGTGCTGCCCCTTTATTCTTATGTGGAAAATATGAATAGAGGGGCAGCAAGTATGATCTATTGAACAGATCAAGTGTGAATAGAAGCAAAAACACATTAGATAATTTGAAACTTTTGGAATATTTTAGAATTTAAAAAAAGAAAAAGGATAAGAAAACAAGAGAGTTCAATGCCCAAAGTGCCTGTTAGTAAAACAGTTGACTTCTTGTTTAACAATTCACTCAGATAATTCTTGAAGTTATTTTCCAAAGTCGACCTGAGTTTCATAAGGAAAAATAGATATATAAGATAATGACCATTTAAGAATGCTTTTACTAATTCATTTTGTAATTTAGACCTGTCTTTTTCTGCTTATATATTATTTGGTGAACATATTTCCTAATTCATTCAAACACAAGAGGTTAAGGTTGATAATTATAGGTTACAGGTTTTAAGCGGACAGTTTAGATCAACCACAATATGTATAAGCTACAAGTCATGTGATCCATTATCTGTGATGTATTTGTTTTTATTAAATTATATCATTACATTTTTTTCTTTACTGTTCATTATTAAATTAAAATCTAATAATATTCTAATATTAAATTTCTGTAGACCCCCATTGTCATCTTCTGCTTAGATACAAAAATATCTTAGAAAATGCAAAGTCTGACATGTCTGAACGTTTTGTTATTGCAGAATATAATTGGGTCGTTACAGAATTTTTTTCAAAGAAGCGGTTATAAAGTACTGTAATTATTTTAACCATTGAAAACTATTTATAAAATGTTTACCTTTTGTAATATATTACATTTTTGTACAAATATAAAAATGAGGAGATTTGGTATGATTGCCAATGTGACAGTATCCACCAAAGTACAAATAAGTGAAAATACAATGTACAAAAATGTAAGCTATTACATGACACAGTACAGTCTTTAAAAGTGAGAAAAACCCATCCCTATAGTCAGCTATAACAGGCCCAGACATGAAAAAATGTGAAACAATTCAAACAAGAAAACTAACGGCCTAATTTATAACAAAACAATTTGCAAAAAAAACAAATATAACGGACATGAACCAACAATAACCACTGAACTACACTACAGGCTCCTGACATGGGACAGGCACTAACTAAAGAATAAGATAGATTAAACATGTTTGTAAGCAATAAAGCCTCCCCTTAACTGGGGACAGTGGTGTAACAGCACAATTATAATAAGAACAAATGTAACATCAGTTACAATTGGATTTACTCAAAAGATCGGTTCAACACAAAAAAACATGATAACTATAGACACAAAGAACCGATATAAAAATACTCACAGTTATTGAAAGCTAGTTCAAAGCCAATTACATCTTATAAATTAATCATGTTCACCTAGATTAAAGTTATGTTTGGATATTTCAAAAACAAAATCAATGTAAATACCTATATAAACAATATTTAAAGATTTTACCACTGTGTAAAATTAGTAACCTTTGACAATAAGTTTACTCAAAGGATAAATAAGTTAACTTGGATCGTATTTAAATTTTCCGCATTATAATCAACAGTACCATCAAAATAATGATGTGATATCCTGTTTATAATAAGAATTCTATAGGTACAGCCAAACTTCCTAACCAAATCTTTTTAGCTATGAAAGAATTGGGTAAAGGTTTTAATCAATTTGTGGTAATGAAATCCCTGACCGGAGAACTTACCAGTTACACATAAATTATGATCATTGAATGCTAAAAGGCGACTAAAGACACAGGCATAGGGAAATATACACACTGTAAGAAGGGGTCAAAGAACCATCAATATCCAAATTTAGAATAGAACAATATTTTGCTGTCTGTATTAGATTTAATTTAAGTAAGTTCATTAAGGTAAATTTCCGCAGTAAACTTAAAAAATTCTTGATTATTTAAAGCAAAAATATCAAGGTTATAGTGTTTTTGAATTCATCAATTAAAATTTAAATGTTATTTAGATGGATATTTACTGAGTTTGACGTGTATCTTTATTTCATGGCAAAAATAAAACTTAATTGTTATCTTTCAAAATCATAGGAAATTATACTGACATGACTAATCTTTCAAAATCATAGGAAATTATACTGACATGACTGAGTAAGAAAAATATTGTCCAAACTTTTCTCATATATAATCATAGAATTTAAGGTTTATTCTACGAAAATCAAGAGTCATCATTGTAATACTGGAAAACCAAGGGTTGTTCTTAAAAACTCAAGGTTGGAGGAGTACCACCCATAAAAAGCCTGTGGTAATCCCTGCATGGCTTTAATATCTTTGGTCATGTTTGCTGTATGTTATCCATGTCTTTCCAACACCACCATCCCATCCCAGTAGATACTCTTTCATAAATGTACTTTTTCATGCTATTCAAAGTGTCCTATACATTTTTGTACATGCACTTGTGCAGGATATAATTTATATTTTTTTCCAAAAAATGTTACTTAGTCATTTATTTCATTTTGTTTGTACATTTTGTAGGCAATGAGCCGCATGAACTGCAAGTTGGCGACTCTTATTTTCAACCTTGAAATGAAAGAAAAGAGGAAAAGTGAAGTGAACAGTTTTCTGTATACCCTGAGAGGTCAGCTTCTAGTTCTACACAGATATCAAGGAGCAAGATGATATATAGTAGCATCAACTGAATGTGTTAATACCAGTATAAATTTTAAAATAAGATGGGGAATGATTGACAATGAGACAACTTTCCTTATTAGACCCAATAACATAAACAATGGTTGAGCAAAGTCAAATTTTAGTATCCATAGTGAGATAAATATTTGTGTAGATCCTGTATGTAATTTCTGAAGATTATTCTGTAGAAATAAATTTGGAAGTTAATTGATTTTCCCCTTCTTAGGGTCTTTTCACACTGCATAGTGCACCGTTTCAATAAGCTATGGCACAGTTCTTAAGACATTTTATTCATTTACTTGAGAAAACAGTGTTTTTAAGGACTCACTGATGTTATATTAAAGACCTGGACTTTCAAAGGATATTTGGCTTGAATTGGACTAAATTAAACTTTCTAAACCTTTGCAAGTGTAGCAGTGTGATATTATTCTGCTATATGATATATTTTTAACCACAGCCATATTAAAAATGTTTTAATACTTTTTTTATTCCCATTTTTTATGCCTAATTAATGAATGGATATGTGGGGTTGATGTTAATTGCAAATTTTAAGTGTAGTAATAGTCCTTGATTGATTGGAAAATGGAATTTTATGTTGATTCTATGCAATAATTTGGTGAGTTTGATCCAGCTTTTCAAATATTGATATGTTGTTCCTCATGACAAAATAAAGGTTTGAATTGGTTTTTGAAGATTTTCACTTTTGTATTCAGGAGTTATAGCCCTTGATTCCTTTAACAGTGACATTAAAGAAAACCCATTTTTACAGCTTCTTGCTTTTCTTGAAATGATATCAGTCATCTCTTTTTTTTTATCATAACTGTCTCTGTGGTCCCATGATAGTGTGCTAGGCTTGGATGACAGATGAAGGTTTGTGGGTTTTATACCCAGCCAATCCAAAACAAAAAAAATACCAGTTTTAAGTTTATATAATCTGCTGCTTCTTAACCAATCATACACCATTTATTAAAAGAGCAGAGACTGGTTGGTTAAGAGCAAGTAAAACAAATCCAGACAGGGTGGTAATTCTGACTGTTTCTTTGCAAGCTGAAAAATTTAGCTCATGGTGATGAAAATCCCAACTCAGAGTGTTGTTTGAGTACAAAGCAGGGTATATTCAAATAATATGAACATCTGATTTGTCCTGAATATATATGATATATTTTCAAATATATTATGTCATGCATAACTTACAAGATATCATGTTGAAATGCACATCTGATGCTGTAAAATTGGTAATGTTTAATGTCATTCATGTAGTGTAATTGACTTCAGAGAAAATCTTAAAATCTTGCTAAATAATTTCAATTTTCTTTAAAGTAATAAGTCATTATTTGATGAGTTTATATTTCTATCCATGTTTAATTATTTTTATTTTATACTTTTCAGAGATGTTATGCACTCAGGTTTCAACATGACCATTTCCAAGCATACTGCACTGTGGATGGCATCATTATCCATTGTTATTCTTTTATTGCTATGTCTCTTTTGGAATGATCCAATATTGAAGAGTAAACAGTATATTGTTCCACCGCCAAGACCTTATTTATTGCCCCAAAAATCTGGTAATCTGAATACAAACTTAGAATCATCTGGTTCTTATAAACCCACAGAAGAGAAAGAAGACATAGCTAAAATACTTGATGTTGCTAAAAGTATGGAATACAAAAAGCCTTTGTTAGTTACACTTATCAACAATGCTTATCTCCCCTTTACCTACAGCTGGCTGTGTAACACTAAAGACATGGATATTCATAAGCAGGTAGTCATTATTTACATAATATTATCCCTATTTGTAGAAAACACATGATGAATGGTATAGTAACGACTCGTGCAGATTAAGTTATCAGAGAAGTGCTAATTATAACTTGTCCTATTTTTCCATTTTGATTGAAATATAAGGATGGAATTTGTTGTGGTGAAAGTGTGTCAACTATTACCTATGTAATATCATGCAAATTCATTTTTTTCATAGTTTAAGAATATGTACTATTATCTCCTTTAAAGAGCTAGACAAAAGGGGCAATTTATTGAAATCTGTCTACAAATATTTTTTGATATTGTATATATTGTAATACAGTAGACTCCGGCAAATCGGATACCCAAAATGACAGCTAAAAATATCTGATTACCCGATATATTCAATTAGACGATGAATGTATATTCATTGAATATTCTGCAATAATGAGTAGATATAATCCTGAGATGTTACTAACCCTGACAATTGCTAAATATGTGAAAGGGCTGGAGGATTGATGGAGTGATTTTTATCAGTTACATCACCACGATGTTTGTGTAAAAAATTATCAGCTGATTATGTAATGATTAAATTTGTTTGCAGTTTTTAAATCCTTTATTTATTAAAATAAATCAAATGTCCTGAAATATTTATGTGAATTATTGTCTACCATCCATAGTTTGTCATTATTTGTTTATAATGTTCAAAATGACCTGAATATTCTTATCCGATTTGCCGATATATTCTTATATCCGATATTCGATTACACGATAAAATTAACATTAAACATATAGGGAAGGGTTTGGTGTAATTGATTATTTTGTATAATGGCATGCACTTTACAATTTAAGGAATGCGTTGGCAAACTTTTTGGAATATCAGTTGTGAAGTTTAAGGAATATTTAGATGGAATCAATTTTATTTTGATATAAAAAATAAATTAAGTCAATGTGATATAATTGCCAACGCGACAACTATCAACCAGAGTCAAAATTAATTGGATTAAAGCTTCTAAAGGTTAAAAATGAGCAAAACCCATACTGTATGGTCACTTATAAAGGGCCCTGACATGACAAAAAGGGGAAATAATTTTCCATTGTTTTGGTTTCATAAGATATATACATGTACATGTATTCATAAGATATATATATACATGTATTAAATGATTAAAGTAAGATTAATCATATCTGAAATCATCATCATTTTTTTTATCATAACCTCTATTTATTCTTTCTTATATAGCAATTTTAATGTAGAGCTTTATAAATAGTTAAAAGCTTTAGTATGGCTATCTTAATAATAATTAAAGGATGCTTTTGTGAGTGCATTGTCTCTATAGACTTGTGCATTGTGCTTGCAAATAAAATTACTCTGAAAATAAAAAAAATTAATCTTTCCATTTGAAGCTTTTCCATCAGAGTAAGTACTTATCACTAGTTTTATTGGAAAGTATAAAATAATTTTGCATTGTTTTAGTTGCATATGCATATATATGTTTTTTGCATTAATGTCTTCATTAATACATTCCAAGATACACATTTCTCGCTTTTATAGCTTTGCTTAATCTTAATGTACCTTCATGTTATTTTAACAGCAAACCAAGAACGTGCTTTGTCTTTTCTTTTAGGGTTTTATTTGTTTACACTTTGCAATGATGAATTTTGCCTCAGGAGTTACTGGAAGTCATATGATCCTTCAAATTTGATAAAAAAGTTGAATATATTTTATATAACTGAATGGCTAATTTTTATTACAAAAACGTGTACATAGACTTTCTTTTGAAAAAAATTTCATTATTTTAACCAATGTTTATGAAATAGTTTTATTGTCTTGCCTGCGAAAGTTACAGTATGTTAGACATAGGAATTTCTATCCGATGGTGGCGGTGTAAAGCTTTTATTTCCATAGGTAGAAGACCTGGATGCTTCATACCTTGTTTGCAGATACCTTATGAAACAATGTTTCTGCGAGTCATTATGTACATTGTCCTTGACCTCATTTTAATGGGAGGAGGGGGGCATCGGTGGCCAAGTGGTCTAAGTAGTCGAACTACTGTATCACTAGCCTGTCAACACTGAGGTTGTGAGTTCAAGTCCCGAACGGGGCAGGTGCACTTGACTCTAATCTTAATTGACTAGGGTTGTCAGTTTTCCTACCAAAGGTCGGTGGTTCTCTCTGGGCACTCTGGCTTCCTCCACCAATAAAAACTGACCACCACAAAATAGAAAAAGAGGCGTATAACACCAATCAATCAAATCAATCATTTTAATGGTTCAGCGACTGCTTGAAAAAGAAATTAGTTTTTTTGTCATGTGAATTTCTCACTTATTACGAGTAATAGGATAACAATATTTGGTACATGTACATGGGTTTCTTGCAACATTCACCTGACCTCGACCTCATTTCATTGATCAGTGATCAGGGTAAAAGTTACATGATAAGTTCTGTTTCTCAGATACTGTAAGCAGTAGGTCAACTATATGTTTTTGTGTTTTGGTCTATTTTTCAAGTACTATAAGCAATAGGTCATCTATATTTGATGTATGGGATTATTGTAAGGTGAACATGTCTGTCTGGCAGGTATCATCTGACCTTGACCTCATTTCATGGTTCATTGGTCAATGTTGAGTTTTTCTGTTTTTCTTTTTCGCAAATACTATAAGCAATAGGTCAACTAGGTTTGGTGTATGGAATGATTGTAAGGTGTAAATGTCTGTCTGGCAGGTATCATCTGACCTTGACCCTGTTTTCATGGTTCATTGGTCAGTGTTAAGTTCTTGTGTTTTGGTCTGTTTTTCAAGTAGTTTAAGCAATAGGTCAACTATATTTGATGTATGGAATGATTGTAAGGTGTACATGTCTGTCTGGCAGGTAGCATATGACCTTGATCCCAATTTTCATGGTTTATTGGTCAATGTTAAGATTTTGTGTTTTGATCTGTATACAATAACCATAAGCAATAGGTCAACTTTATTTGTTGTATGGAATATTTGGAAGGTGTATATATCTGTCTGACAGGATTTATTTGACCTTGATCTCATTGTCATGATACTTATAATAAAAACCATTATCTTCTAGACTTTTAACATAAAATCAATGGTCAGTAAAGCTGGTGATACATTTCAGCGTGTGCACTCTTGTTAACAAAAAGTAAAATAACAAAAATACAGAACTCCGAGGAAAATTCAAAACGGAAAAACAAATGGGAATGGACAATATATAAAAAAAATAAACATATCAGCATTCATGTTTCTGTGTCCATTATTTATCAAGGTCACGATCGGTAAACTTCGACACCAAATCCTGTTAATCAATGCAATTAACAGCCATAGTTTACTGAATGAAATTTTTGTTTGTTGACTTAAGTTATGGATTTGTAATAAGTGTAAGAAATGTGCACAAGAGGACCTGCAATAACCATACCTGTCAACTGACCCAATTTTTTCAGGAATTTATGAGCTCACCTGAGATTTTACATTCACTGTCATAACTAGATATTTCAGTATCTTACCTGTTTCAACCGTGTTCTAGTTCCATGAAACTTGTTTAAGGTGTAGATTACTAGATTTTCTTTTGCAATACCCAAATGTGATGTTTTTATTTTATTTTGTGATGTTCTTTTCAAGTATCAATCTACATTTATATAACAATCATGCAATTTTCAGGATGAGTAAATCACTTGTATAAAACCCACTGATTTTTATACGACCGCAAAAAATTTTGCGATCATATATTGGTATGACGTTGGCGTCGTTTTCGTCGTCCGAAGACACATTGGTTTTCGCACTCTAACTTTAGTTTAAGTGAATGGATCTCTATGAAATTTTACCATAAGGTTCAATACCACAAAAAGAAGGTGGGGATTGATTTTGGGGGTTATGGTACCAACAGTTAAGGAATAAGGGACCCAAAAGTGGCCAAAAATAAGCATTTTTGTAACTTCCAGACATAACTTGTGTGTTAGTGTATGGATCTCTCTGACATTGTACCACAAGGTTTCATATCACAAAGGGAATGCTGGGATTGATTTTGGGGGTAATAGCATCAAAATTTTAGGAATTAGGGGCCAAAAAAGGGGCAAAAAACAAGCATTTTTCTAGTTTCATGACAATAACTTGTGTGTAAGTGTATGGATCTTTCTGAAATTGTACTACAATGTTCCATATCACAAAGGGAAAGCTGGAATTGAGTTTGGGGGTAATTGCTTAAAATGTTAAGGAATAAGGGGCCAAAAAGGGGCCAAAAATAAGCATTTTTCTAGTTTCATGACAATAACTTGTGTTCAAGTGTATGGATCTCTCTGAAATTGTACTGCAAGGTACAATACCACAAAGGGAAGGCTGGGATTGATTTTGGGGTAATTGCCTCAAAATGTTAGGAATTAGGGGCAAAAAAGAGGCAAAAACAAGCATTTTTCTAGTTTCAGGACAATAACTTGTGTGTAAGTCTATGGATCTTTATGAAATTGTGCTACAAAGTTCCATATCACAAAGGGAAAGCTGGGTTTGAGTTTGGGGGTAATTGCCCTAAACGTTTAGGAATACAGGGTCAAAAAGGGGCCAAAAATAAGCATTTTTCTAGTTTCTAGACAATAACTTGTGTTCAAGTGTATGGATCTCTCTGAAATTGTACTGCAAGGTACCACCCCACAAAGGGAAGGCTTGGATTGATTTTGGGGGTAATTGCCGCAAAATTTTAGGAATTAAGGGCCAAAAAGGGGCAAAAAACAAGCATTTTTCTAGATTCATGACAATAACTTGTGTGTAAGTGTATGGATCTTTATGAAATTGTGCTACAAGGTTCCATATCACAAAGGGAAGGCTTGGATTGATTTTGGGGGTAATTGCCGCAAAATTTTAGGAATTAGGGGCCAAAAAGGGGTAAAAAACAAGCATTTTTCTAGATTCAGGACAATAACTTGTGCGTAAGTGTATGGATCTCTCTGAAATTGTGTTGCAAGATACCATACCACAAAGGGAAGGCTGGGATTGAGTTTGGGGGTGATAAATCATAAGGGGGTTCAAAAAATTTGGGGGAGGGATTTTTTCTCCCTTTTTTTCCTTTTTTTTCTTTAAAATTTTCCATTTTAAATTGGTTATTTCTGATTTATATATATAAGTATATAATAATGATATGGTTTCAATAGGTAAATTAGAAAATTTTAAGTTCTTAGACCACATTCATTCTGTGTCAGAAACCTATGCTGTGTCAAATATTTAATCACAATCCAAATTCAGTGCTGTATCAAGCTTGAATGTTGTGTCCATACTTGCCCCAACTGTTCAGGGTCCGACCTCTGCGGTTGTATCAAGCTGCGCCCAGGGAGCATTTTATTTTAATTTACTAATTGTCTACTTGTCGGGTGCATATCGTGAAATGTATAATTGTTCTTTTCATACTGCCCGTTCATCAAAGAAAATTGATGCTAAAAAAATGCACTGCTTATCAGGAAGTTATCTTCCTTCAAAAAAATTTCATTGTGCATTTTATATAATTTATATATTTCCTTTGAAAATGGCAATAATATAAATTTATAGGTAGGTTTTGCATTCTGAACAAAATTTAAAAAAATAATTTCCCCTATGAATGACCTTTGCACGATTGTAAGGTGGATTGGTACTACATTCTGTTTTATATATGTGGTGGATTGTTAGGTGGATTGGTACTTCATTCTGTTTTATATATGTGGTGGATTGTTAGGTGGATTGGTACTTCATTCTGTTTTGTATATGTGGTGGATTGTTAGGTGGATTGGTACTTCATTCTGTTTTATATATGTGGTGGATTGTTAGGTGGATTGGTACTTCATTCTGTTTTGTATATGTGGTGGATTGTTAGGTGGATTGGTACTTCATTCTGTTTTATATATGTGGTGGATTGTTAGGTGGATTGGTACTTCATTCTGTTTTGTATATGTGGTGGATTGTTAGGTGGATTGGTACTTCATTCTGTTTTATATATGTGGTGGATTGTTAGGTGGATTGGTACTTCATTCTGTTTTATATATGTGGTGGATTGTTAGGTGGATTGGTACTTCATTCTGTTTTATATATGTGGTGGATTGTATTTGATTCTGACTACTTAACAGACAGTAACACATTTAAATTTAAAGCCTGAATGTATATATATATAAAGTTTGGTTTGAAGTTAGTACATTTACTATCCATGTTAAATTGTTAAATAATGTTCTTTAATAGAACCAGTATATATATCTTTTATACTTTTAATAACAAGTTGAAATGTGAGAAGAAAAAAATTGTCCTCCTTATTCAATCTAATGCATAAAAAAATCAACTGTAATCTTATTATTTTGGTGTTTTTATTAGAAATGTGCCATTTATTTCCAGGTCTTATTGATTACAACGGATACTGAGTCCAAAGACCATCTGAATACATTATGGCCAGACGTCAAAGTGGTAGCTATTTCAGGAATGCCATCAAAAGGAGATCAAACCTATAGCCATGCTGGCTATGTACGACTTATGATCAGACGGACACAAATATTGTTGAAAATGTTGCAGAATAATATAGAGATATTCTTGTTTGAAGTTGATTGTTTGTGGATAAAAAATCCTGTCCCAACATTAGCAAAGAACTCAGATTATGACATTTTGGTAAATCCAGTTTCTAATAGACCTGGTTTAGTTGCAGGAGGTTTTATATACATGTTTCCTACTCATGCAACGAAATATCTGTGGAATGCACTGAATAATAAACTGGAAAAATTGGAACAGAAGATAAGGAACTTACCTCCTGGGAGAGGTATTTCTGAAGGTGAAAATGACCAAATATATCTATCTGATTTAGTGAAGAGAAGGGTTGATGGTTCAAAATGTAAAACTTTGCCACTAACAGAATTTGCAGATGGTAAATGGTATTCATTTCCAAATAAAACAAGGACAGCATTAGATCCTTATGTAGTTAACAATAACTGGGTAAATGGTAACCAGAATAAAATTTCAAGAGCAAAAGCCTGGGGACATTGGTTTATCAGGAAAGATAACTCTTGTGATACAGAACAAGTGAAAAAAATTGTTAAGTTTTGATACAAATTTTATATAAGCAGAAAAGAGTTCAAAAAAAAAAATTATCGTACTAAGTTGAGAAATAGAAACTGTAAAATTAGTTCAAATGACATACTTTTTAGCCCACCTGGCCCAAAGGGCCAAGTGAGCTTTTCTCATCACTTGGCATCCGTCATCCGTCGTCGTCGTTAACTTTTTACATTTTGAACTTCTTCTAGAAAACCACTGAATGGAATGAAACCAAACATGGCATGAATATTCCTTATGAGGTGCTGACCAAGTGTTGTTACTTTGTAGCTGATCCATCATCCATCGTTTAGCATAGGACCATATGGACAATACATACAAATGTCTTCTTTTAGAGAACCACTGAAAGGAATGAAACCAAACATGGCATGAATGTTCCTTATGATGTGCTGACCAAGTGTTGTTACTTTGAAGCCAATCCATCATCCAAGATGGCCGCCAGAGAGGGACTTAGTTTAACATAGGACCCTGGGAAATACATACAAATGTCTTCTGTAAGAGAACCACTAAATGGAATGAAATAAAACATGGCATGAATGTTCCTTATGAGGTGCTGACCAAGTGTTGTAACTTTGTAGGTGATCAATTATCCAAGATCGCCGCCAGCGGGGACTTAGTTTAACATAGGACCCTATGGGAAATACATACAAATGTTTCTTTTTAGATACCACTGAATGGAATGAAATTAAACATGGCATGAATTTTCCTAATGAGGTGCTGACCAAGTGTTGTTACTTTGTAGCCAATCAATCATCCAAGATGGCTGCCAGAGGGGAACTTAGTTTAACAAAGGACCCTATGTGAAATACATACAAAAGTCTTCTTTTGAAGAACCACTGAATGGAATGAAACCAAACATGGCATGAATGTTCCTTATCAGGCGCTGACCAAGTGTTGTTACTTTGTAGCAAATCCATCAACCAAGATGGCTGCCAACGAGGGACTTAGTTTAACAAAAGGACCCTATGTGAAATATATACAAATGCCTTCTTCTAGAAAACCGCTTAATGGATTGAAACCAAACGTGGTATGAATGTTTCTTTTGAGGTGCTGACCAAGTGTTATTACTTTGAAGCTGATTTGTCATTGTCCTTATAAAGTCATTTTCTACAATTTCAATGAATTTATTGGTAATTTCTGTAAACTTTACAAAAGTCTTCTGCTTTTGATTAAATTAGGGGGCCAATATTAAACCAAATTTGGCCTCAATCATTATTAGGGTATCTGTTATGATTTTAATCTATTTTTACATGATTTTCAAAACCAAAGTAGAATCAGGTGAGCGACACAGGCTCTTGAGAGCCTCTAGTTTATAGATAAGATTGCTTTAAAAGAGAATTCAAAGAAATATATCATCTTTTTATATATATATCTGATTTGTCAGCACCAAATACTTTTTTAAAAAAATTGAAAAAGAAGCAATTTTTGCAATCAAGGAATTCTTCTAGTCATTTACTTAATTATGTGTTCACCAAAATGTATTCATCAGAATAATAAGATATTGTCTGTTTTTGCTTTTTTCAATGAGAAAATGTTTATCAGTATTATTATTCATTGCTGAGATTTTTTTTACCCTTTTCATTGAGAAAATAACACTTAAATTTGATATACATTTAAAACACAATCGACGTACAATGTACCGGTATATAAAATATGTCTGTGATATTGAGAGATCTCAATGAAAAGCATTATCAATGCTACTTGTATGTTTTTACAAATATTTATCATTTTATGACGGTGGACTTTTATCAAGAACATGTAAAAGAGTTTATATAAATTTAGAATTTTATATATACAGAAGATGTTTTGCTAGTACTTAATTATTTTACATTCTTCTTTTTTTAGTTGTCCGATTTTGTATATATATATACTGTTATGTTGAAAAAAAAAGTAAGCATCAATTCCAGTTTTGCTATTGACAAGTTTTACATATTATCATGAATGTCTGAAACATTCCAGAACTGAATTCAAAATATTGGCTGCTAGATAATTGTTTTTTCTAAAAAAAAACAACAAAAAAAACGACTGTTATAAAGAACTGAAAACATTCCTGTTCACTCGAGATTATTCAACATCATATAAGTAATATCGGTTGCTACTGACCCCCTTCAAGATCCATAGAGGGTTAGTAAAATCCATAGGGATTGATACCAAAGGCCAAATCCTCTATGGATTTTTCTAACCTTCAATGAATCCATAGGAGGTAAGTAGTGAACCGTATAACAAATTTAAAGCACATTGTACTTTTCTTGCCAAGTTTTGTATAAAATTAACAATAAAATACAATACCATTAATAGATGACATCACCATTAATAGTAGACGTGATGTCATGATACCCCTTTATAATCTTCTAACCCCCTACATATTCATAGGGAGCTCGAGTCGTCACACGACAGTCACTACGTCACTAATTTACCCGAGGTGCGATAAATGATTTTATGAGGCCATGTTCTGACAATATTTCTGGACAAATTGTTGATTAACTGAACTATTGTGAATTAATGAAACCACCACAATGTTTCACCTAAGTGGACTAGAACATGAGGCATTCCATGTTCCGTCCAGTCTAGAAATGTTTATATGTTAGTTAGACATAATATTGTAAATTATACAGTCTCTTCTAGTTATTTGTTTGTTTAAGTGCAATTCTTTTACATATACAATAACTAACCAAGGAATTCAAATATTAAAAGTATTTGAGTACTGACTGATCAACTCATTCATCCACAAATGTGCCTAGTACATCATTGAATTCACTCTTCTCCATCATCAGTTGGATTTTTTTTATATTTGAATTTTTGGATTAGTTGTTCATTTTATTACATTGCCTTTTAAAGCATATAAAGTAAACAATGCAAGGAAAGATATCTTTTTTTTTATTATGTTGCTACTTTCATTTTGATGCAATGTCATTGATAATGTCTTCACAACACTTATTGCTTTTCGTTCTCAGAGGCGTAAAGCTACAGGATTTCTTTATAAAATAAGTATGTGCAGATTTGTTTGCTATTTTATTTAGCCATGCTGTAATTTTGTGTATTTGTCCGATGATGATAGCTTCAGGTTTTTATTCACTGATGAATGTTGATGTTATTTTTTAGCCAAAATCTGCTATGATGTTATTAAAAAGAATTATTTTATATAATTGTAGATAGTTGTGTGTTTTGTAGAAATGATTTTAAAGTATCTCATAACTCTTTTTATAGTGGCTCTTATTGTTTTAAATGTTACTGTGATTTTTTCAATGTGTATGAATATATGTCAATATTGAGGTGAGACTTTAATGAAGTATTTTTCTCATCTCGACTATGTGAATTTCGGTTAAATTGTATACTTATTTTGTGTTTGTCACAAACTTATTGTTTAAAGTTTATATGGCAATAAACATTTGAATTTTTGAATTTTATCTTTGGTATCCTGGCAAGGTCTACATATTTGTCACATAGAGTTCACCTGACCTCTACTTCATTTCATGGATCAAGGTTAAAGTGACGTGATTCGGACTGTTTTAAAAGATACTATAAGTTTTGGTCAACTATACATGTATTTGATGTATGGATTGATTGTGAGGTCTACATGTCTTACTGGTAGGTTTCATCTAATCATGACTTCACATCCTAATTTTACATCGATATTGTTTATAGCATAACATCTACCCTCGACTTTGGTGGAGAGAATATATGACAGATTTCGTGTAGTCCCCAACTGATGTAAGCAAAAATTGATCAACTATTAGAGTATAAAATTGAGAATGGAAATGGGGAATGTGTCAAAGAGACAACAACCCGACCATAGAGCAGACAACAGCCAAAGGCCACCAATGGGTCTTCAATGCAGCGAGAAACTCCCACACCCGGAGGCGTCCTTCAGCTGGCCCCTAAACAAATATGTATACTAGTTCAGTGATAATGGACGTCATACTAAACTCCAAATTATACACAAGAAACTAAAATTAAAAAAGATACAAGACTAACAAAGGCCAGAGGCTCCTGACTTGGGACAGGCGCAAAAATGCGGCGGGGTTAAACATGTTTTTTGAGATCTCAACCCTCCCCCTATACCTCTAGCCAATGTAGAAAAAACAAACGTACAACAGTACGCACAGTAAAACTCAGTTCAAGAGAAGTCCGAGTCCAATGTCAGAATAGGAAACAAAAGAAAATAAACAAAATGACAATAATACATAAATAACAACAGACTACTAGCAGTTACTGACATGCCAGCTCCAGACCTCAATTAAACTTTGCTTTGATTTTAAACTGTACATATTGAACTAACAGGCTTCCTGTATTATTGACACAATTTTGTCTGACCAGTGCCAAATAATCATGGGCAAGACATAATTGTGTGTCCAAAATGGTAATTAGGGAATTTCATGCACAAAACCAAACTGTTCTTTCCAAAGTTCTCAAGATAAGTTCAGTGAATATTGGACTTATGTTTCAAAAGATATAACACAGTACCCAAATGATTGCCCCAACATCAGTCTAGCAATTGCTGTTTTTGACTTTAAACACAGCACATTCAAAATCAGTAGAGGTTTTCTCCACTCTATTTGGCATTATCACGACAAATGCGGTAAAGTTTCACAAATGGTTCAGAGGATACTTTCTGGGGACCATAATTTCTCCTTATTTTCCTGGTGCATTAATTAAAGAAATAACAGAAAAAGCAATGTTTTTTTTATACGACCGCAAAAATTTTTGTATATTGTTATCACGTCAGCGTCGTCCGAAGACATTTGGTTTCCGAACAATAACTTTAGTTTAAGTGAATGGATCTCTATGAAATTTAATCAAAAGGTTCAATACCACAAAAGGAAGGATGGGATTGTTTTTGGGGGTGATGGTCCCCACCGTTCAGGAATTAGGGGCCAAAACAAGCATTATTCTAGTTTCAGGACAATAACTTGTGTATAAGTATTTTGATTGCTCTGAAATTGTACCACAAGGTTCAATACCACAAGTAGAAGGTTGGGATTCATTTTGGGGGTAATTGCCCAAACTGTTCAGGAATTAGGGACCAAAAAGGGTCCAAAACAAGCATTTTTCTAGTTTTCAGACAATAACTTGTGTTTAAGTGTATGGATGTCTCTTAATTTGTACCACATTTTTACAAAAAGAAAATTTCTTCAAAATTATTTTTTTTGGAAGGGGGTAAAAAAAATGTTTTTTTGGGGGGGAGGGGGGGGCAATTTTTTCCCTCAAAAGAAAATTCTCCTTCAAATATTATTTTTTTTCGGAGGAGGGTAAAAAAAAATTGGGGGGGGTAAAAAAAAAATTTATTGGGGGGTCAATTTTTTTTTCCTCAAGATTTAAGAAATTGTCAATTTTCAGTAGAAACAAATTGGGGTCACAATTTATTTTGCTAATTCTTTGTATATAGTCTGAAAACAGATTTACTAAGTATTGCGCAACAGCACAGTGTATTTCACAACTGCAAGAAATCTTCAATTTAAATATAAATTCAAATCATACAACCAATTTCAAGTTCTTAGACTACATTTATTCTGTGTCAGAAACATATAATGTGTCAATTATTTAATTACAATCCAAATTCAGACCTGTATCAAGCTTGAATATTGTGTCCATTTTTGCCTCAACTGTTCAGGGTTGGACCTCTGCGGTCGTATCTAGCTGCGCTCGGCGAAGCAGTTTATTGTAGTCTCTACTCGATTTCCGTGCCAACATGATATTCAACGGGTTATCTGTACTATAAGAATCAAGAAAAAGACAACTGTTGCTAGGCAGTGCAATTTGTTGCTAAGTGTTTAATAATTTGTACATATCTGTACTGTCTTAAAATATCTATTGAGGGTTAAATTCAAATTGTCTCAAAATTTTTGGATGTAAAAAGGGGTCCTAAGTTGCAGAATAAATATATTAAAATTATTTAAAAAAAACACAAGTCTGTTGCTTAGGATTATGCATGTTGCTAAGGAGAAAAGTGAATTGTCAGTACTTGGAAAGAATTTAAACATATTTTCAGATACAATGCACAACAATCTTGTACTTCAGGGCAATATAATAATATTATAATTGTCTCCTTTTGTTGTTGCCTACCAACCTTATATTTGAAATGAAGACACGGAAAACTCACTTTAAAAAAAAAAAATATGTAGGCTACAAATTTTACAAAATAAATGGATTCAGAAAAAGCTGGTAAACTGCTCATCATACTCATCCGATTAATTCTTTATTAAAAAATTATCTGTACTTTATATTTACTTAAAATTGAAATCCGTTACTTAGGAATATATGTGTTGTGAAGCAACCATTTTATTTCAAATTTTTCATTTTATCCCCAATGTGTGCTTAGAGTCTTAACTTTATAATACAAGGTTCTAATTTGAACAAACTGGGGAATCATATGTTCTAAAAATTCTTCATTGAGAAATTGAGCTCAAAAATTGATGAAATCTAATTATTTTGTAGGGCCGCACATTTAAATTTTTCAGTGCATACCAAATTTTATTTTTCAAATAGTTGTTTGTATCCATACTATCAAGAATACAATAAGGGGCAATAAAATTGCTTTCTGGATTTTTAGATAAAGGCAATTAAATGTTATGTGGTTACTATGGCAAGCCGTTTTACTATTTATTCTAACTTCAAGATATCTCATATAGTTTATAAGATATCTTATATAGTTTATAAGATATCTTATATAGTTTATAAGATATCTTATATAGTTTATAAGATATCTCATATAGTTCATAAGATATTTCATATATTTTTTGTCCCTCGCACAACACGTTGCGGGGGACATGGAAATTTCGGACGTCCATCCGTCCGGTCTTGTTAGAGCTCTCACGTGTACAATTCTTGCCAGATTTTTTTTGAAACTTATATCATAGGTTTATATTAGTAATGTCTTGGACGAGTTCGAAAATCAGTGCTGATCAATTATTTTTAAAAGAGTTATGCCCTTGCAAACATTCATTATATGGAAAATTGCATCTTTATATATAGCGCTCTCGTGTACATTTCTTGCCAGATTTTTATGAAACTTATATCAGGTTTATATCAACAATGTCTTGGACGAGTTCCAAAATCAGTGCCGATCAATTATTTTTAAAAGAGTAATGCCCCTTGGAAACATTGATTATATGGAAAATTGAAATTGAGAATGGAAATGGGGAATGTGTCAAAAAGACAACAACCCGACCAAAGAGCAGAAAACAGCCAAAGGCCACCAAAGGGTCTTTAACACAGCGAGAAAATCCCGCACCCGGAGGCGGGCTTCAGTGTTCTCATGTATAATTCTTGCAGAATTTTATAAATCTTATATCATAGGTTTATATCAGGAATGTCTTTGAGACTTTCGAAAATAAGTGCTGATCAAATATTTTTTTTTAACGAGTTATGCTCCTTGGAAATATTAATGATAACGGAAATCGCATTACATTTGCTCTGAAGCCTTCATTTCTCTAAGATATTCATAAAAGGTTTTAAAGAACAAAAAAAAGTGGGTTTTATTTAGTTATTGCCCTTGTATCTTGGACAGATTAAATATGTGCAACGCGGGGACATTGGAACTCTGTTCTTTTATCTTTATAAGATATCTTATAAAAACTTGATTATATAAGATATCTCATATATTAAATGATATATCTTGAAGTAAGAATAAATAGTAAAACGGCTTGCCATAGGTTATTGTGCAAGTTATATGAAGGCAAGATGTCCTCTTTACGATATTATAGTTGAGAGATGACTTATTTACAGTATTGATTTCCTGCTTTACTTTGAAAAATGCATATTTTACCACGTCATACACGTGTTTCGGTGGTATTTTGACAAGTATCTCGGGAAATGTAATTTTTTGCCATGGAAACCAGTGAATTTGAAAAATTATACCATTTTCATCTTGTTTGTGTTACATAACATGCAACATTCCATTCAAATCTCAGTACTTGCTGACATGGCTTCATAAGTAACTAAGGAAAGTTTGGTGTTTCTGTGTGTTACCTGTTTTTCTCTTGTTATCTTTTGAAGTTGCGTAACCTACGTGCCAGTGTCATTTAGCATGCAGCTTAATATATTACTATTTATATACCAAATCAACTTAATTCGTGAGATGTTATATGTATCAAAAGTCACAATAAATTAATTAAAAAGATTCGTATCGTCAATATTAATTTTTTTTTTCCGATTTGAAAGTAAATTCAGAATCAGATGTCCAATTTTATGTAATAAAGTCAAATCTCAGTTAAATCAAAATTCAATACTCAATGGTTTAATCTATTACACAAGGTAAATACACATAACTATATGATTGGAAGTGGTTATTTTGAAAGGACTCTCGACAAAATATATGAAACAAAAATAATTTAAAACTCTTTTCGTTGTTTCAAATTTCAATAGAAAGCTGAAACGCATGTAAAGATATAAATCAGTATAAT